CACCATGTTCCAGTGTTCAATGCAAGACAGGTTGTAAAAGCAGTATTTCTAAACTTTGGAATCACATAACCAAATAAGGCACGGAATATTTAATCCATAAGCCATTTTTCATAGCATTCAAGGATACATTGACAGATGTACAGTATGAAGTTACAGTATGATTCAGAGTCCAAGGCAGTTTGTCTCATACATTTGAACATTTAAAAAATATTTGCAGAGCCATGGCCTGATTTCTTGGTAGAAGACTTGTAACTCTGAGTGCATACAAATTTATTGTTTATTAATAATCCTTTTTCCCCAAGTAATTAAGTACTACAATTTTGGCTTGGAAAGACAGCATTAGCCCTAAATGAACATCTGACATTTTAGAATGTTTTAAATAGAAACAATCAAGTTAACTAATTAGGAAAAAAAAATGACATGTAGCAAAATAATTGTTATCCTAAAAATTTTAACTTTACATAAAGCACTCTTGATACACCTATGAGAGCTTACGTTAAGACAGTCTAATCAGTGTTCACCTAATGACCCATGCTAAATTTAAACTTCAGCTTGGTCCAAAGTATTTATCTGAAAATGCTGACTGTGATGCAAATCAACAATGGCATAAACAAAATATGTTCGTCTGTTGTCTAGCTTTAAATAGATGATCTGTATTGGTACCCATCTCTACATCATTTCTGGGTGGTCTTTACCAAGTCCTTTTACCTATCTCAGCCTCAGTTTCCAGCTCTAACACCTTTTTCTCCATGGTTTTGTTCATGTATTTCATGTACTGAAGATTTCATGTAAAATCTTCAGTATAATGACCGCATTGCAAATAGTGTTTACTCAATTAAACAGTATTCTCTCCATCTCTTGACTAACACATTTGAAACGCACTTCTGAGAAAGACTGAGTTTCTTTTTACTTTGAATTGAGTGAACTAATGCAAAGAGAAGTTACTTTTTACCTCCTTCACTGTAAGTCAAAAGAGTTAAATCCTGTACAAATACTTCTTTTCTTAAGTCACGTGACGTAAATTTTTCAGTTCGAGGATATGATGTTTTTAAGACAGGTCTCTTACTTGAGGAGCCTGCTTTGGAAATGTTTGTCTGGACTGTCATGCTCCATAAAATACACCTGATGTTAATCTGTTCAGGCAAGCCTATTATTATTAGCTTCAAGATTATTTTCTTAAGCTAACTGTTAAAAAGAACTAATGACAAGTGTGAGTATGTATTACTAGACACCCAGTAACACTATTCTTACAAGGGTCACCACATTTTCTCCTCATCTTTCAGTCTATCCCAGTGCATGCACGAACAGTGACACTGATGGTAGGTAGGTTGAATAGACCATTTCCAGACATCCCTGCCAATCTTGGCCATACTCCTCCCTGTAGCAACACACGCTTTAATAGACATGCAGAAGACACTTGAAAATTTTGTATTTATCTTTTACCGTAAAGCACACATAGACCCTTTGGTAAAAGTTTTATACTGCAAACTTTTGCACGGATTATATAAAATTCCTGGCCTAACTCAAAATTACTTACTGAATTAAAAATTATAAGCAGCTGAGATTTCTACATGAGGATGCTTTATTTAAAAACAGCAGCAGCATTACTATCTGAAACAGCCTACTTTATATCTCGCCAAGAAAGATTAGTATTATCTTTGTTCTGGTTAGTGGATTTTTGGATTATAAAATCCTTACACAGTTAGCCTTTCATGAAGCACTGTTAGGGATTAAAAACATTTTTATGAAAATGTTCTCATATAATGAAATCATAACAATTCAACTTCATTTTACCCAGAGCAGGAGAATAGTGCCAATTAAAAGCTCTGTTTTGAGGGTTTAATATCAGCAGGTTAAAAAACAGTTAGGCAATAAACTAGCAAAAAGATTCTCAGCCTAGAGAGGATTTTTTCTTTTTTTTATGTCAAGCATACTTTAATCTCCTAAGCTGTTTATAATGATAGAGTTGCCAAAATTAGGCCAGCTAAAAATCGTGGAATTGGCTGCATCTGTTACAGAACATAGAGAGCCCCAAAACATTGCAGAATATTAGAAAAAGAACTTAAAGAAAAAAACAAAAAACAAGTAAAGATGGCATATTCGGGAGGTTTGGTTTTTATTTGTAAACAAAAAACAGTGCATCTATTTTAGGTACAAATAGATCTTCATATTCATTAATAGTAGTAAATACTCTGAAATTTTCAGTCAAAAACTTCCACAGCAGCATCAAATGTCATTATTATTAAGTCTTTTGGACAACAGGATTTCAGCATGCAGACTATTCCCCTGCATCCTCGCCAATGCCTCTCTCCTAATTAATATGATTCTAATGTGTACCAGGACCTATTCTTAATGAGGTTTTGTTCCAACTCAAGAATGGTAGTACGGGTGAATACTGAGTCACAAGAATCCTTTCCTCTTCACTAGCTCTACCTGAATAAACCAGTAAGTAATAGACTCCACTGACTCCACTGAGAAATAACACAATATGAATTGCACTCCTCTCTGTGCTGGTGTAGTAAGGCCACGCTGCCCCCGCTATGCTAACGAGGAACAGAACTAAACAAACAGGAGAAGCATTCAGCTGTCTTCTGCAAAGTCTATCCAGACTGCACAGAGCGAGACACAGGACTAGTTGTGGGCATACTACAGTAGGATCAGCACCTGATTTTAGCCCTGTTGGCAGAGTGCATTGAGAATCACTGTACTATCAGTACTGTATAGACAGTTACATACAGGTTCTTTTTTGCTTTGCCTTTTTTTTTTAAATTTATATCAGCTGACTACTTTTATGACTACTTCTATGAGTCACTTCCCCAACTCCGTACAGACTAACACAAATTAAAGGAGACATGGTGAGAACACTAAACAGGTATTTTTTTCAAGAGGCACAAAGAGATCCAAGGTGCAATTTCGTGCTTGGTTAAAGACAGGCTACAACTGCTGCTACTAAAAAAGGAGTCAACCTTCTCTCTGTGCTTACATTGGCTCTGGCAATCCTGAAGCTGCATGGCGAGTTGGATCAGCTTAATAACTCAAGTGAAAATTAATTGTGTTCCCCACCAGCCCCAGTTCCTGAGCAGTTACTATAGCTGATGTGAGGGAGCTGCCATAAATGTGCAGACAGGATCAGACGATTGGTGACTTTTCATTTTGGCAGTAGGCAGTCTTGGAATAACACGTCAGTCATGAAATATCAGATATCACGGATAAGGTATTATTTTTCAGCAACATATGCTTTGTTCACGGTTCGTCCAAATTTCATAGGGACAGCAAACAAACAATTTACCATTCCCATCTTAGAAGCAAAAGATTATTTTAAAGAAAATAATTTTATGGTAATATTTTCTCCAGTTTTCTTCTCAGAATGAATTATTTTCCTTGAAATTTTCCTCAGGTTGCTGTAACATAACACATATTTCAGCCTAAGGTGTTATATCCTTACTGTTACAAGCAAATAAAAGTTAGGATCTTTCTACGGGGAGTGCTTCATAGAAGCTTCTATACACAACTCGAGATATGAATATAGATGTGAATCTATAAAAGCTCATGGCACTCCCCACACAAAGATTCTGACTTTCATTTTTGTTTAATAGATGAACTTCTATATATCACTAGCACTAACTGGAACTCTCAAGACATTATTTAGACTGTTAGCTGTAATAAAAACCTTTGCGTATTCTTGCAAAAATTGATCAATCTGTGATTGATCTGTGCAAGCAACTTAGACTTCCTACCTTTACCTACCTGTGAGTTTAGATTTCAATATATTCATCTTAAAATGCTACCTGGAATGCTCATCTATGCTGCCCATGCCACTAAAACAAAATTCCAAAAGATTTATAGAACTGTGTTAGAATTGTTTATTACATGACCCTGATTATGGTAAGCAACCGTATATTTAATTTTCCAGTTGAAATTTCCACTTGACAGCTTCATGCAGCAATGTGCCAGAACTGAATATTAAGGTCTGACTATGTGCTAAAGCAATTAACTTAATCCCCAACATTTATAAGCATCTTAATTAAATTTATGGACTCTTTCCTTTCTCATTCCCATGCTACTAAATAGGAAAAAAAAAAAGCTCTCTTTCCAAAATTACCATATATGAATTGATGTGTATTGCACATCTAGCAGAAGATAAAGCATTTCAGAATTCATTTATTGCGTGAAGAAATTAAGTTTAGCACAATATTTAAATGTGCTTGGAGGTATGAACCAGGTATGTAAGTGATAAACAGATTAATTGTGGTAATGGAAGGCTAATTTGCATTGCTTATTTCACAAAAAAAACCCAACGCAAACTAAACAAAGCCACCACCAACGAAGGAAGAATACAGTTTATCTACCATAAGAAAAGTTGTCTCCAGTACTTGTTTGTGAACACTGAGTTATAAATAGGTTATAGGATTGCTCATACAGTAATAGAAGAATGAAGTCTCACATGCTGTTTTCTCAATCAGTCATAGAATTAACTACAACAAAATGGAATTAAGTCATATTGAAATTTTCTAGAAATGAATTATAAGTCCAGTCTTGAAAACATTCTTCTGAATGAACTATAAAACTATTTTCAGACTCAAGATGAAGAAAATGCAGTCCTGCTTCTGATTCACTTGCAAACTGAATACTAGAGTACAGGATCACTAAGAACAGGAAACAACGCTTTAACAGTGAACACAAAATTTTTCAGAACAAGCATTAGTTCTGATTAAATTACCATCAACAAGTAGAAAACATTATTAGATTATTTATTTTGGCAGTTATTTTTTAAAACCCAGAATTTTCAAATTGTAGATATTAAAATAAAATAATTAAAAATAAAAAAAAAAAAACAGAAATAGCAAAGTCATATAATTACGGAATACAACATTCCAGAACCAACTCTTTACAACCATTAATGAAATTTACTAAAATATTAGAAGGAAATTGCAATACATTACATTGTATACTTAGTGATAAATATTTTTAGGAAAGCATTTAACACTTCTATGACTTACCAGCAGTGAAGTCATTATCTAAATCTATAAACGCATGAGAGTGCGGTATATACATTTTACTTTGAGTTTCCAATGCAGCATACCATGATAAGTTCCTGCAGACAAGAATAAAAAGCAATATATTTCATCAATGCTGAGGGACTGTTAACCACAATAATATACCTTTTAAAAAACAATCGTGAAACCTTAAATAAAATTGAACAGAAAGCATGTTCTCCTAATGCTAAGCTAAAATTACTACTTAGCTTACAATATACTAAGTAACTATAGTAATTGCTTGAAAAGTTCTGTGAAGGATGATTCATAGCACAGGGGCTTCAGTTAGATTTTAGTAACTTTCTAAAGCAATTTTTTTTGTACGCAAAAAATTATCACTACCCACAAAGTGAAATTTAGTCCCTAGACTTCAACTGTAAAACTTGAGACACTGATCGCTGTCCTCCCTGGTTTCCTCAAGCAGTTTTACTATCAGTACTTCCGAAATCTACTTTAGGATTAATAAAGATGAGCAAAAAAGGACATAATCACATGCTGTTAAAACAGCTCATGCCTGCTGCACGTAAATGGACTTTATTTTCAGTCACTTAAAAATCAACACAAGAATTAAACTGTCACATTATGATGAACCACAGGCTAATTATGTAATTTCCCAAGCAGGTGATACTTTTTTTTACTTATTTATAAACATACATGCCCTGCCGGTTTCTGTTCTAAAAATGACTGAACTCCAGCAAACCTCCCTATTAGCAGCACATTGAAATACAACAAATCCTTCAAAAGGCATAATGATTGAATTATCAGGTATCTTACTTTCAGAACCCTTAGCTAATAAACTCGGAAAAATCTCAATATGCACTATACAATAGCAGGACAGTGATATTACTACTGTCTGAAATGACTTTGTTTATTCCAGTGATGTTTCATACATATTACTAAAGTCCTTATCTTCTGTGACTCATTTTAGGGCAAGAAAAAAAAATAAGCTTCTGATTACTTCCCAGAGATCATAACTAAGTCTTAGAAATGTTAAAGAAATAATTAACTATTTTCTATAGGTTTTTCTATGTATTCAGTTTTGAAGATAGCCAAGAAAGTTAGTTATACAGCTGTAGTATAAATTTAAAAACATTTTAGATTAAAAATAGAAAAATACTTTTCTAAGCACGTGACATAAAGCTGGTTTCCACATACAAGACATCGCTTATGCTGTTACCTATAGCACTCAGTCTTATTTTGAGCTGTAACGAGTAAGTTTATTTGTATCCTAATGCTACTGAAAGGATTTATTCAACAAAATGAAAACAATCTCTCCCATTTTTCCGTATCTTCAAAAGCTTATAAAATTTTTCAATATATAATCATGGCAAGGTGTTCAGAAACACCCTTGTGAATTTGCAATCTCTGTTCCATAAGCCATCAATTTAAATAACAGTAATGGTGATAAAATTCAAGTTGGGATTAATGACTAAAAACATATTGCCAAGAAAAGTATAGTTTCCATTTACACGTTTAAATGTTATTTACCCTACATCACTTCTGAATGATTTCTGAGGAAAGGAAAATAGCCAGTTAGGAACAACAGGTATAGATTTGTTAAACTCACTCATGGGGTGTGGGGGGAAAAGCCTTATTTAAACATTTCTTAAGGGCCATAGAGATGCACGATAGAAAGCTGATATATGGTTGCCACAGAGACAGAGTAATCATCTCATTGATTTCTCCAGTGGTAACAGATCTCTTGAAATAAAAGCTAAAGAAAGCCACATAGGAATGCAAAGACTTCCTAACACACACTTTCTTTTAAAATAAACTTAAGTATTGATTGTATGCAAACCTAAAACAGCTCTGATGCCAACACCAGGATTCCTCCTGAAACAGAGACCTGCAAGTTTCTATGCTAATGTTGCTAAATAACGTTCAAGACAATCCTATCAAGTTCCACTTAAAAGCTGCAAAATAGCAAGTTAGAAGATACAAACTTCTTCAAACGATTGATTTAAAGGTCCAATCCTCTAAGAAAACATAAGCCCAGTTCCTAATTTTTCCAATTATTCATTGGAAATTTTCATTATCAGTCAAAAGAAAATAGTTCAAAAAGAAAATGTCAAAAGAGTGGTTTTCATATCATCACAAAGCTAAGAACAATGTATTTATTTTGACATTTATAATCCAACTCGCATCCTAAGAATAATTTCTGCTTTTGAGCACATTCTTTGACAATTGAAAGAAAAATCTCTAAATCAGGCAGAGTTCTAATTCAAGCATCCTTCTTTTGAGGCTTCTTTTTTAAAGAATGCCCAAACCCACAACACTATCAATGAAGTTCTTCCTTACAAAAGCCAAAGACTGAATGTATGCTAAGTTTAGTTTGGCAGAAGTCACAGGAAAAGATGTACAGACCCATATTTGTTGTTGTTGTTGGTTTTGTTTTTGTTTTTGTTTTAAAAAAAAAAGGTCCTCCTGTTCAATAGTGAAACTTTCACTAACTCAGAGTCACACCAGTCTGTGTCCTTGAATACACAATCCTAATAGCTCTCAAAAGCCAAAGCTTTCTTTTTCTTTACCAGATTACAAACCTCCAAAGCAGTATCAGGAAAACTGAATAGAATGTGAACTGTCCTTCTCTAGGGTCCAGTAGTGTTTTTAACAAATAACTTATAACTTATTTTCAAAAGACAGATTTAAAGCTTTTTGGCATCTTGCCCAATATTAGAGACATTGCTACTTTTTAATTTTTTGTTTAGCGACTGATTCTTTTGAGTCAGTAGTGATCCATTCTTTTGTCATGCTTCGTTTTCAGCATTCATACCCAAAACAGTTAAACAAAAATAATCCTTTGCATAGTCCTTATTAACAATTTAAACATGCCATTAAAATAATCATTTTTATCCCAGTATTTGCTAGCTAGTCCCATTCTAGAAATTCCAGGGCTAGCAGAAACTTTAATATTGAAACTTAATCCCTTTTACTGCAATCTCATCTCATAAGACTTCAGTTAACTTCTACTTGCTGAAGAGTGGCCTTAGCCACAAAAGATGTGATACAGTGAACATCACTTGCATGCACACTTCTATTGCTACTTAAAGTCACCTCTGCCTTACGTCTCTTTATGAACCTCTTCCCCCCTAAGCATATCAAATATTTTCCTTAATATATAGCTTAATACCCTTACACTTTGCACTTTGTATGCTTTTAATTTCCCATGTTGTCTAACCTCCCCATTACAATTAATTTCCTAGATAAATGAGAGCTGAATTTTTTAAGTTTACCGCAAACTCCTGCACATTTTCCTTTTGCCATCCCTTATAAGATCTGTTCCAGTACTTCTTGCATCATCAACCTGTCACTTCATCTATTAGACTAAATGCAGCTTAAATTCTACGAACGCTACTTAAAAACTTTGGTTTTATTTTTGTACAGCACCGAATGCCATAATACAGATTATAATAATAAATATCAAAGTGTACTGAACAAAGACGACTATAACTGTTCCCAAGAAACAATTATCCTATTTCTCATGTCAAGTAACAGGGTTTTTGTTTTCTCAGCTCTCATGGAGTGTGTACTTCCCCTATAAAGGAAGGGGATAAAGGAAAAAAAAAATTAGATGCAGAATGTCATAGAATGTTTAAAGATACACATGGAACTGACAGAAGATTCATATGTTTGCACAGTTCCAGTTAAACATGAGTCTTATGCCTCTTTAATAAGAGCAGGCATGTATGCACAATGAGTAAGTTACTGCAATTCATGCTAATAAACAAACCCTCAGCTTACCCGCCTAGCCATATCTGTGGCTTACTTGAATCACTTGTGACACCAAAGACATCAGGAATCAAGTCTCCATTAAAGCTGAAAATGCAAAACAATTTCAATATCACCTTAGTCATTATAGGAGTTGAAATTAACTGTTCTTAAGTTGACTTGTATTTAGTTAACTCATGGTTTTCCCACCAAGCAATGAAGAATTTTCAGCTGTGTAGTCTTTTCTGAATTTTGGCTCTTATCTGAACTGCTGGTAGTAGTATGCTTTCTTCAATATTTTACACTATGCCATGCATTTGATTTTCCAGCTATGTTTCCCCCCCTCTCTTTTGTTCAGCATTTCACACAGAGGGAAGTGCACTGTGAAAGCAGTATTTGCTCAGTCTGATAAGCCAGTAAGGTTTTTGCTTTACAAAATTCACTAAAAAATGAGTGGCTCTTTTTCTGCATAAAACAGAGTACCAAAATTAAAAAATTAAAAGCTTATTTAGTTACTATTGCCAGGATGATATAAAATACAAGATTTGTAAAGATGACTTATGTTTCGTCATCTTTTGTTAGACCAGTTGGCATTATACAAACCACCCTGTTCTTAAAAGATAAAGAGCATGTGTTTCAAAGTTTAGCATTAAAATATATTTAAATTGCTCTTAATCACCATTATAAATGTTGTTTTCTAAAAAAGTAGGTCATACTTACTCCATTACTAGAGGCTCATCATGAAAAGTTTTATTTAACATAGTTTTATGGTTAAGATCTGAAAACAGAAAATATTAATTTGATTCAGTTACCAATATGTTATGCCATTTGCATTTTTAACTTAGACATAATTCTTCTTCTATTAATTTACATCAATTTTATGATTAAAAAAAAAAATCAGCCACCACTGAACATAAAAAACTAGATGGCTTCCTGAAATTATGCAGGAAAGGTGAGTACAGTTAAAATGCTGAAGCTTCTTCTCTCTCCACTAAACTCTTCAACAAATTATTCTAAATAGATCTTAGCGAAACCTATTTCTATGTATGACTGCAATCACACAGACACACGAAATTGGAAATAGCTGGGATGAAGACAGTCTAAAAATTTAACATTGTACATAAGACCTCTGTTTAATGTTTTATCACTGTAAAAAAACAAACATTCTTAATCATATACACTGAGTGTTTGAAATAAGGATTACAGGTAAGATTGCCTAAATGGGAAGTGAGGATTTTAAGTCCTAAACAGGTTGTCACCTCTAAGACTTCACTTTTACTTGTAATCCAAACTCCTTGCCACATCATTCCCATTTCCTTCATCTCTCCATAATGTTTCTCTTCCTTCCAGTTTCCACATTGTATGACAGTACCCTCCTATTGACTTGTCTGTCACACTTCCATTACCCAAGTAGGCACCACATACCTTCGCAGTAGCCTCACTACATACCAACCATTGCCCGAATTTTTAACCTCTGACTCCTTTTCTAAGCCCCATATGCTCATTTGTGCCTCTCCCAATATTTGTTTATTCAGAATTTGGTTTAACAGATATAAGAGTGTTATATTACTGTGTATATTATATTGGTAAGCTTAGGTCTGATATTTTGAAAGTTTATGCACTAAACTTAACACCAGGTTCCCAGCACATTTTAAATTCAAGATAAGTTTTTTGAGATAATCTTTGTGAGGCTGACATGCATAATGGGGAAGCCATGAGAAATGGCTCTTCAGTTAGTAGGTTACTGTCAAACTATAATATTGTTTGGTTATGTCTGTTGCATGATCTAAAGCAAGAGTTTTAGCTTTGTTCTCTTTCATCAATTATTGAATACAGTTTAACAGCAAGTTAATATATGGGTATGAAGCTGAATAGCTGCTAATTCCTATTTTAGTTGTAAAAACAAACACTACACTGTAAAACGAGTTATAACTTTCTGACAATACTTTGAATTATTAAAAAGTCTAACAATCTTAATCATAAGCAGTTTCAGCAACTCACCTAATGTTTGGTTGTGCCCCCAGAAAATAAACACTGAAAGTTCATCTCTGCCATGATTTTGTGCCCTGGTAGTCAGGAGGACATCCATTTGTGAATCACCATCATAATCTCCAGGAACTACACTGGTTATGGTAACACTGAGAGATCTAGAATTAAAAACAAACAAAAAACGCCACATGCAAATAATTGTACAAATGTGTGCACGAAAATTGAAAGTACTTGTGTGTTCAAAGGCTTGCCTTTTCGTCCCAATTATTACTTGGTCCAATACAATGTTATCCTTCAACAACCTGGCTTTTTATAAAGTCCTTATCTATTGCAAAAGTAACTTTAAATCAAGCATTCTGCAGGCCGTCTTCCTCTAAGGAAGGATGACATTTTTAACTCTAAACTTCAGTTAACAGGCATTCTTCAGCCATATCCTGTTTGATAATGCTATCTAGACTTCATTAAATCCCTTCATTTGTTGTAAAACCAGTCCTCAAAAATGTGTTTCAGAGAGCAGAATCTTTTTGTTGCATTCCAAGAGCAAGACCATAAAGCAACAGGAGCAGCTTAAGCAGCAGAAAAAAAAAGACAGATAGCTAGATCTTTTTAAAGACAATGTCATCTCCTCCTATCTTCTGCCACAGCTTACTACTCCTCCCTACATTTGTTTGTTCTTTCTATCTTTTTTTACTTGGTTACCTACCCAGAGACTCTGCTTTACACACACAAACATGGATCATTCTGTTAAGAATTAAAAGCAGATCATTTCTAATGCACTAAACAAATTAGCTCCTTCCAAGATAGGAGGGAATAAGGAAAAACAAAAATATATAGAACTACAGAAGATGAAGCTGAGCTATAACAGCAACTTAACTTTTAATAAACATAATAGTATTAGTAAGCATTATTCATAAGCAATAACATATCCTGTAATACTATCGTGGTTAAAACTATACATATATATATGTACATAAACACACAGATTGTTTTACATTTATTAAAAATTAATGCTTTTTTTAAAGCCCCATCTAAACTTTAGAAAGGAACAGATCTCTACACAGAAATACCAGAACACCATTCTCCGTATCTCTTTCTAAAGCAGATGATATTGGCTGGATTCCATTAGTAACTACAGCAACTAGAAGAATTTCCCTGAAAACATGTCTTGGGACAGAGACTAATACTATCTGCCAAAAAGACTTAACCTATGATATGGAATAATAGTCTGCTTTACTAGGAAATAAAGTCCTGAAAAACCAAGTCAACTGCAAAAATATTCCAAGATATGAGTGTTTTTAATACTAATTAGAGGACAAAAAACCAAAGCATAGCAGTTCCGTAAGGGGGTGGGAAGTGACACCTATTAGTTAACAATATGAATGACAAAACTCATCTCCACAAATTCTGTCATCTGACCCACAAAATCCAAACAAATCCAAAACAAAAATGTATCAGGAAATTAATCAGGAAACTGGTCAAAGAACTGGAGCTCTAAGAGCAAGGTGAACAACATAGTCAAATAGATAACAGCAGCACAGACAATTCTAGTCATGTTCCCACTGACTGCAGAGATGCGCTTTCAAGAAAAACGGCCACTTACATTGTTTCACCACTGAATATCAACACTTACTTCATTGGTAACTTAACACGGGGCTTGAAGTAGGGTTCCTTTTGGTCAGCCAAAAAGATAATCAACTCATTTCCTGCAAATGCAAGACAGACAATGAATAACAGAGGAGGACTGTAAATGGTTTAATATACAAAAACAACATTAAAAAAGCTATGCCACAAATAGCCATTCCTCACAGTAGCAAAAACTTTGAAGGACTTCCCGTGCAACTACTTCCTCCTCATTCAAAAGGAAGCAAAAGGAGCACTTCTTCAATATAACCTATAAATCTAACTGCATCTCAAAGGAATGCTAATATCAGGAATCTTCTTTGGGGCTTAGTGTTAGACCTTTCTCTCTGCTATTGTTATCACATTGCTTAAAATAAAACTCCCTATAACGACTTAAGAAACATTACACATTGAAAAGTAGTAAGCATCAGTTCCATACAAATAATTAAAGCTTAAAAGCTAACTCAAATGAATTATTTTAATACTGTCTCTGACATAGCAGGATCTGATACTGCTTTCCCAAGTCGTCTGACAAAAGCACTTTAAGTGAAACTCACAGAAGTAACCCGGTTCCCTGCAGCATTTCCTCATTTAGAGGCAATGATACAAGCAACTATCATTTCATTATTTCAGGAAGATCTAAATAAAAGCCCATATTTTCTGTTGCACAAATAATTGAAATTTGGGGAAGAAAAAAAAAAATTTTAACCTGAACGATGAAATACATTTTCAGTCAGTAAACAACAATACACACGCACTTACTTCTGCAAGTAAAATAATAGTTCACAGCTAAAGAAAAAAAATACAGTTTTTTTACTCATCCTTTGTTTGTTTTCTGCATTCACCAAGAAACTCACCTGTAGCATCCTAAACTTCAAGAACTAGGTTACCTAATCAAAAATAATTCTACGGCTCCAAACTTGAGCTACCATAGTATATTTCAAGAGCATCATTCTGTGGCAAAGCTCACAGCTGTGAAATAGCAGAATACAAGCTTTCTGGCTATGGAAGAAAAAGATACCTGCCATAAACATGTTGGCCAAGGAGAATATACCAGCAAATGAGTAAATGAAAACAAACCCTTTCGAAATGGATGGGGGTGATGAGTGCAGTCCCATCTGGCAAAGTAATAAAGCCTGGGTTGCACTACACGTTCACAGATGATTGAAAAAGTTGGCACGCAGTAAGGTAAAGAAGCCTGCTGGCTGGTTAAGCTTTTGATAATGAAGCTGTGGGTTGACTGCTAAAACTTGTAATTCCGATTTCACACTATAGACTTTCACCTGCCTTTTTATCATCTATGTAGTAAAGTAATGATGATGATGAAGAAGCAAATATGGTTTTACACATACCAGGTTCCAAGTCAATTATACCACTCAGAAATGAGACTTTATGGTCACTAAGACAGATTTATGAAAATTTCAGCTCAGTGCTCATCAATAGTCAAAACAAACTGACTACTGGAAATTATTAGATGAACAGAAAACAAAATCACTATGCCGCTACATCAACCCATAGTGCACACATCCTAGCTGCTGTTTGTAGTTCTTGTCCTCTCATCTCAAAAAGAATACAGAAGAAAGGAAAAAAAATATGCATAGGAGAGTATGAAAAAAGGGAACAGTTTCCATACAAACAACAATTACGTAGATTAGAGGTCTTCAGTCTGAATATCTGCGTGAGGATACCACAGAAGTTTTCAAAATTCTCCAAAGAAATGCAGAAGGTGAATAGGGGAATGATCACCCACTGCCCTGTACTATTAGAAGAGACATCAAACACAACTAGAAGGTGGTAGGTTGAACAGGCAAACAGCATGAGCTTCCCCACTTATCCCCGTTTTGTGCACAGACTTACAAAACAAGTAAGTGTATGCACAATTCCATTTATTCGTATATTTTTAGTTTCAAAAATTGACTAAACCCAGGGTCCACTGGTAATTTTGAATTGTTCTTGCAACAAGGTATTTCTGGATCTAGATTAGTTCTCATGTTTAGCTAGTTTACCCTCTCTTACAAAGCTCTGAGTACAAATTGGTTTTTCTTTCAGGTATCTGAGCATATGAAACATAACTCTCATTCAAATAAAGTAATTCAAGATCAGAAGAGTAATATAAATCCAGGACAAGGCCCAAGACATCATCCCCATTTCCTTATTAAGGGTCAGGATTATTAGGACTGGGCTTCTTTACCAGATCACTGTTCTTCAAAGTCTAGTATTATCTCCAGTGCTCACTTCTTCAGCACTACTTAGAATTGGCTACCGTTTATTCTACTACTTAGAATTCTACTGTCTAGATTTGGCTATTACTTTCTGTTTAGATGGTATTCTGTAAATTTTTCAAGCTACTTTTTGTCAAGACCTAAATTATGAAAAATAATGTTTTCAAGTAGGTTATTTGAGGCTCATTTTTACAGAAAGTATCAAGTAGGAAAACTATAGCAAGTGCCGCTGTGCAGAAGCAAAGAAGAAACCATGAATCTCGTTTCTAAAACTTTTAACTATTCACATTTTTATATGCATTCATCTGAAAGATAAGAAAGTAAAAATTAAATCTCTTATCGCTGATGTCCACTTAAAATCTAATCCTTCAGTGCATTTTTTTCAGTAGATGAGCCAGTGGAGCACTTTCAAGGAGCCATGCATATAAATATCTCAACCAGATGGGAAATTCACTCATGCTTTACCGAAGCTACTTACAGAAACATTTGTGAGATTGAAGGAATAAAAAAGGCAAACTTGAGAATAAGTTTATCATCTTAACGTGTAGCTTCAAGCAAGTAAAATAATCCAAGATGAACATCCGCAAGTAACACTGACCACTAATAATAAGCTCTGATTTGGGGTGCCCCCATATCTGAAGCCTAAACAGAAACTCATGGCAGATGACAGCTATGTGGAACAAATTTATCTAGCCTTCCACTTTAACATAATGTCCAAGGTAGGATAATGTGCAATTTGTCTTCTTTACAAGTGTGAAAAGTTCATCTCTGTTTCCCAAAATATTGGGAAAGCAGGAGCGAAAAACCAATTTGTGATCATTCACTCTATAGGACAAAGTCTTTAGATTATTTCACATCAACAAATTCAACTTTAAAGAAAAGTATTTCTTGCCCTATATGAAGCCATATCTTACTGCAAGTTGCAAATATCTCCTTCCATACAGAAAATATCTCAGGAGCAAAGCAAACGTCAATTTTAGTCTTGAAAATAATATTATTGTTCGCTATGCTCGCCCTCAGCAACACAGCAATCAGACGGGGCCACGGAACACGGTGCTTGAGAAGAGAGGCAGCTAGTAACTGACAGAACCGAGGGCACCTCGAGCTGCAAGGGACCCGTAAGGATCATCGCGTCCAACGCCCTGCTCCTCGCCGGACAACTCCCGCCGGGAACCGGGAACGCGTCTCTCAAACGAGCAACCGGCGCCTTCTCCGGAACACGCCGCAGGGAGGACGCCGAGGCAGGACGCCCTCTCGGGGGCCCCCGCAGGGGTCACACCGGCCGCCCCGCGACCGTTCGTAGCCGCCCGCC